AAAATTAATTTAAGGATTGTTGAAGATTCATTTGAACAGGTGGACGTTGGGTTTTGAACCACTTCCTGTTTCCTGACTTTTGACATTAATTCATGTGGCGTTCCCTCACAGCGGTCTCAGGCTCCTGACGCTCAAATGAAATGAAATGAAATAAAAATCACACTGATGTTTATTTTGGGACACAGACGTGGGCCAGATTGGATGGTTCGGTGGGCCGGTTTCAGACCGCGGGCCACCAGTTGGTGATGGCTGGTGTTTAATGAGTGTGATTGAACTCTGAACTGTCCAATAACTTTGCCTCAGTTTCCGTGTCTTACCCTCTCTCTCTCTCTCTCTCTGTCTCTCTCTCTCTGTCTCCAGTCTGCTCCCAGTTCTCTCGGGGAGTGTACGCCATCTTCGGCTTCTACGACCGCAAGTCCATGAACACGCTGACCTCCTTCTGCGGAGCGCTGCACACCTCCTTCATCACACCCAGCTTCCCCATCGATGCCGACGTGCAGTTTGTCATCCAGATGAGGCCCGGTCTGAGAGGAGCCGTTCTCAGTCTGCTGGACCACTACAAGTGGGAGAAGTTTGTCTACCTGTACGACACCGACAGAGGTGAGAGAAGTATCACTGTAGTAGTAGTAGTAGTAGTATTAGTAGTAGTACATGAAAGATGGTGTAAACATCAGGAGCTGTGGTGACAGGGCTCTGGCCTCAGTTCCTCGTCAGTTCAGTTTGTAAAATCGAACATCCTCCACTCTCCTCCTGCGACACACTTCAGGCCCGGCCTGTCATCACCCTAAAGTGCTCCACTGTTGGGCTGAATGCTGCTCACACAGACGCTCAATAGATCCTTGCATCTGAGTGATGAGTCATTCACAGGTGCAGCTGACCCGCCGCCACGGTTTGGTCTTCAGTCGCTGCGGATAATAACCCTCAGCACTCTGTGATTATCATTTAGCACTAATTGGACGGCTGTACAGACGAGGATGTGTTGTTGTCCTCTGAGCATCAGCACCTGAGAAGACTCCAACAGTCAGAGGTACAACAGTCAGAGGTACAGCCATCAGAGGTAGAACAGTCAGAGGTACAACAGTCAGAGGTACAACAGTCAGAGGTACAACAGTCAGAGGTACAGCCGTCAGAGGTACAGCCGTCAGTACCTGTAGACACAGTCAAATCCAGTCCAGACCGTTGTTTCCGTTCACATCCAGACAGAAAAATGGATTTATTGGCAGACCTTTGTCTGACTCTGCTTCAGATAGATGGTGATAAGGTCCAACTGGCGTGATGCTGGACGCCCCTGGTTAGCATGCTGGCTATTAGCCTGTGAGTTAGCGCTGTGTCAGGTGATTTGTTAGCTCGTAGCTAATACTTGTTAGTAAAACACGATGATAACTTTTTTCTCTTTTTTTACTTTTATGCTTATTTCATACTGGATCTTGGATTTTGGAGCCAAAAAATATCATTGATTTCTTCCTGGAACAGAACCAAATATTATAATACACCACATTTCTGTGCAGTGTAAAAAAAAAAGTAAAATATATGTAATATAATCTTTCAGTGTCCACCCAATTAATATTGATTCATAACGTTTTAGAGTCAATCTCATTAATCTCAGTAATTATAAAGTCTTCATTCCCAGTTTTTTTTGTTTTTTTTTTTGTTTTTTGTTTTTTAGAAATCTATCCTGAGCTTTGGTTCAGATGATTCAGACGATCAGACACAAAAACATATTGTCTGACCTCGGCTTGTCAGAAGTGATGTAACAGTAAATATTACATCAAAAAGTCTGGTGTCGTTTCAGATCCACTGTTATAAAACAACTGAGTGGATGTGGAGGGGTTTTTTTCTCTCTCTCCTGTTAAATGTGCCACTTTCCCTAAAACTGTGCATTTCAAGTATTTTTAAACCGGCAAAAAAGCATTTCTAGGACACTTCCCCCACCTCGCTCGAATTACAGTATCTCCATTTCAGGTAGGCGTCTAATTTTACTGCTCACTCATGGAGCTGCTCGCTCTCCTGGAGCCATTTTGTGCCTCTGAACGCAGCAGTGTTGGCAGCATGTTTCACACATTTACATACGTTTGACTCCAAACGAATAAAAAAAGGGTTTTTTTATTGTTTTTTTTAAAGACAACAACAGAACTAGCTGTCGTTCCTGTGGTTTAGTACCAGAATTGGGGTGGTTACGTCAGTGGTTTCCAAAGTAAGGGGCATGGAGCAATTGCAGGGAGGGGGCAGCGTGGCAAATTAATATTTTCTTTTTTCTTTTTTATTTCTGTGTTCTGTGAGAGTAGAAGTTTTTTAGAAATCTCCAAAAAATGGTTTTAGTCATTGTATGGCTGTGTGTTGGCAACAATCTGGTGAAACGATACGTGTCACGATACAAGAATAACGATACGATACAAAAACCGTACACGGATGGAGGACATTTTATGACATTTCAGTCTGTTTTCTTAAGTCGTTGATGTGGAGTTGGGGGCGGAGGGGTGCTGGTTCACTCCTGGTTCACTCCTGGTTTGACTCCTGGTGTGACTCCTGGTGTGACTCCCCGTCAGCTCCTCCACCGTCTGTAACACTGACTGTCGTCTGGTCCAGAACAGATCCTCACTCCTGTAGTTAACTGTCCCAGTTCTGGCTGCCACTCCTGTTCCCGCTCCTCTCCATCAAGGTTCTGGAACAATCCACACAGCTCTCGTCCAAATGTCTGTTTAATCTTCATTATAGAGAAAAGATTTCATTCAGAGCCAGAGTGGGAGGGGCAGAGGGATTCTGGGAGACGGCTGTGTGACTGACTGATGACTGACTGATGACTGACTGATGACTGTCTGACTGATGACTGACTGATGACTGACTGATGACTGACTGACTGACTGTGTGACATGTCTATGTGTGTGTGTGTGTGTGTGTGAAGCAGTCAGAGAACTTTCACTCTAATAATAATGATAATAATAGTCAGGATCCTATTGGCTGCTGCGCTTACAGAGGCTGACGCAACCAATCATCCGTTTGTGGTAATTTGCTCAGTTTTGCGGTTGTTGAGGGAAAAGTCAGAAAGTTCTCAGACAACGTGACATTTTCTTTTTTGGTTCACAACAGGAAACTTTAGGGTAAGACATCCCAACACCTGACAGAGATATGATGACGAAACAACGTCAACGCTGCTGGAGACACAGAGTGTGTGTTATATTATATATCTTATATATATATATATAAACCTGTTAATATAATAATAAGAAAACAATCTGGTTGATTGCAGGTGATTTAAACAAAGGGAGAAAAAAAAACAATTTCCAAAGTTGAGGACAGAGCTGAAATCTCTTAATTTTGAGGATTCAGGAAGTACGTTTGCAGATGTTCTGGGATCACAGGTTCTGAGGATGAAGTTGTAGAAAAGATGGAGGTGGAAAAAAAACAGTTTTGTCTAAATCGCAAATATTAATGTTCTTTCTTGGACTGAAATAACCTTACCGAGAGTAAAAGCCTGAAGGTGGAGGATTTTATGGTTGGATTTGTCGTCAGGTTGTTGTAACATTTGTGGACCATGTTTTTTGCGGCCTCTGGTTTGAAGGAATCGTCAGTGTGCAGCTCTTTATGACTAGACATTTATAATGAAGAGGAGTTGGAGGAGTGCAGCAGATGAAGCTCTGCCTCTCTCTGTTGCACTTCTATTATTAAGAAGTGACATAAAAACTCCATCAGCTGCAGCGTTTCTGCCCCTGTTCAACTACCCCGAGGTAATAACATCTGCAGCTGACAGGACAATTGCCACATCACAGCAGAGTTTTTTTTTTTTCTTTTTTTTTTCGGCTTCTTGAAAGTCAGCGTGAACTTGAACATATCATTAAAATGAATCTGTTGATCTCTGTAGATCTTAAGGAAAGTCAATCCGTCGTCTCCTTTCATCCCACCCCATAAAAGGGTTTTTACGCCTCGGCCTCCGGTCATAAATACCATCAGAACTCCATCAGCGGGCTGGAGTTTTGACTGTAATTGAAAATGCTGCGCTCAGATGTAGCACTAAATATGTCACGCGGGCGCGAACAGCACATTTAATTTTCAGTGTGCATTTCCAAACGCAGACATTATCGACATCAAACAAGTTCAGCTTCACTTTCATGTGGGAGGAATCCGACTCTCCTCCCGCTTTTATATTCAAATTTTGGACGTAAAGACTTTCTGAAAGTACTGACTTTGCACCTTGAGCCAGGCGCGGGTCATTAGGTCCGTGTTTATCCGCGGCAGTGAAACATCACCTATTTATCCCAGCTATACTGCAGCTTTGATTTACCCTCATTACAGAGACGAACGGCCCGAGGCAGCCCACACCCTCTGAACCCAGGACTTTTCCACTGATAGAACAACAACATTAAACCTCGTTAGTCTACAAATTGTTCACTGCCAACCGTGCACTCTGTAACCCTAATGCATTTGGCAACACGGAATCTGCAAAGTACCACAAGACACAGCGTTGAACCGTGTCCTTATTTACGGTGACGGTGGCGTCGGTTTGTCAGAGAAATATTGAAGGTGTTAAAATATATAAGACTGGAACAGTTTTCTGTCTAAACCTACACAGGAATCGAATCGTAGTTTAAAAAGAATTATCTGTTATGCAGAATCTCTCTGGGTAATTCCATTTTCATCACGACGAAGCCTCAGAGGACCGAGGCGTCTGTCTCATCGCCTGAAGCTCCAGGTTTAGGAAAACAAAGATTTACTGATTCACTAATCTGAACTTTGAGACACTTCGTCACAAATTCTTCACTACACACTTTATTTATTGTTTCTCAGTGTAACGGGAGGAGCTGAGTGAGGACGGGTAAAACACAGGCAGAACAACCACACTAATGTTTGTTAGTAGTGTATGTCATTCTGATACGTATGTTATATCGTCAGAACACCTGTATATGTTTGGTGTAGAGTCAGAGGCAGAATCTGGAGGAGCTGTCCAAGGTGCTGAAACAGACAAGTCTCACTAAAACAAAATGTCAGAGACTAAAATCAGCTACAACTGAAAGAAGAAGCTCTGGAGGAGGAGGTCTGGAGAAGAGGTGTCACTCATTTTCAACTGGGGGGAATGGGGGGGGGGTCAGGTTATTTAGCACTGAGCTAAATGAGCAGCTGTGATTCACTTTGGGGTTGGACGTGGAAGTGTAGTGCGGTTCAGTTAGTGTCCCTGACGGTGAGCAGGTTGAACCTCACCGCTCCACGTCTTCTTCTGGATTCACTTCTTCTACGTTACCTTCTCGCATTTTCTCGCCGCTCTGACTAACGCTGGTGGTGGTGGTGGTGGTGATGGGGGGGGGGCGGTGGAGGATTTGAATTCAGCGTGTAATCACAGCAGCCTCCCACTGCACGTCTGTGTGGTTTTGTCTCTGAGAGGAAACATCTGATTAATTGCACGCAGCTAAATGGCTGCACTCAGCATCCAGGCAGTCTGACTCATTAAAGACACTGGCAACACACACACACTCACACACACACACACACCTGACTTCACTGGTCTCCCCCGCGCTGCCCCCCTCCTGCCCCCCCCCCCCCCCCCCCCTCCCGGGGGTAAACACCGTTTTCCTCTCAGGGCTTAATTCTGGGACTGAAGCAGAGATTCATTAATCGTCCTCAGCTGTTTCCTCTTCATTCAAGGGGTTTTTTTTGCCTCAGGACCAACAGCGAGAAACACACGTGACGGTAGAACCAAAAAAAATCACCATTGATCCTGGTCCTAACTTGGAATGTCGGCGAATTATGGTTAAATATAAGCAACGATGATGAGGTTGATGGACGCTTCATTCTATGCTTTGACATATTTTATTATTAAAATTAATTAGAATAATTAAACATATTCATTTTGACTTTTTAAGCTACATGCTAATATAAAGTTGTTGTTGTTCTGTTTGTCTCGGTGAGAGTTTGCTGTCATCCAACTCAAGTCCTTTTATTTTCTGAAAAGTTCTGGCTGGACTGGACTGGACTGTGGCAAAAAACACATATATATTTATTTATTTCTACAAAGTCTGTGATTTTGTGAAGTATCTGCCTCGTTAAACCTCAAAGAGTCGTGTTCAGACGCTGCAGCTGAGGCCGCGTCTGTCCGTGTGACTCTAACCTCTGTTGTCAAGGCTCACTCTGTTCCTACAGAAGTGGCACAAATTGATCCAAGAACATCCATGCAGACCAGAACAGAACAGAACAGAACAGAACAGAACATAACAGAGCGTCCTGACCTCTGCGTCCAGCTGCAGACCTAAATCGTCCTGGGATAAAAATGAAAGACAGGCAGCGAGACATTGTCCAATCAGGTGTTTTTCAGGTGACAATTAGACACTTTAAATAATGGTCTCATCACGTCAGGGTTTGCACCTCTGACCAGTGTGTCTACTGCTGTAGTACCAGTTGTAACCACACCACCAGGGGGCCCTGCCCCACTGTTTGAGAAGTACTAGGTTAGTCAGTGTAATAAGTAGTTAGTAATGTTGACTCTGCACTTTCTAATGGAGCTGCTGGTGGCGGCTCGGTGGTTCAGGAAGCGGACTTGGGTCCGGAAGGTTTCAGGTTCGAGTCCACCAGTTGCCACTGAGCATGGCACCGTCCGCACACAGTGCTGTCCCCTGCTGACTGTGGTGATGGGCAAAATGCGGAGGTCAAGTTTGCTTGTGTGCAGTGGTGAGCTGTGTCACAGCGACAAGTCGTTCACGTTCAGCCTCGTCCTCGTCTCCTCCCCCTCCGTCGTCTTCTCCTTCTTTGTGAGTAAACACCATGAGAAGGCGAGCACTGAAAGATTTATTTGGGTCAGAGTAAAGAGTTCCCTCCTCTCTGCAGCTCAGCGTCGTTGTCTCCTCCGCTAACGGACGGAGAAATAAACAAATCAACGGTGAAAAAAAAACTAAATGAAATCACAGAAGGATGAAAAAGGCGAAGGATGGAACGGTGGCGTCAGCGAAGACCGGTGTCTCTTCTCTGGTGGAGTACGGCACACGAC